CAGACCAGACCAGACCAGACCAGACCAGACCAGACCAGACCAGACCAGACCAGACCAGACCAGACCAGACCAGACCAGACCAGACCAGACCAGACCAGACCAGACCAGACCAGACCAGACCAGACCAGACCAGACCAGACCAGACCAGACCAGACCAGACCAGACCAGACCAGACCAGACCAGACCAGACCAGACCAGACCAGACCAGACCAGACCAGACCAGACCAGACCAGACCAGACCAGACCAGACCAGACCAGACCAGACCAGACCAGACCAGACCAGACCAGACCAGACCAGACCAGACCAGACCAGACCAGACCAGACCAGACCAGACCAGACCAGACCAGACCAGACCAGACCAGACCAGACCAGACCAGACCAGACCAGACCAGACCAGATGCATGTCTAAATGTTTACTCATTCACATATTCACTTTCACTTTGGTATCACCAAATGTTTATAGTTTTCAAAGCTACAACATGTTACAATATAATATACAAAATGATTACATAATACTTACTCTCCAAGCAGAAAGCTGACTGACAATGTTGTCTGTTTGTTGGGATCAGCAGTCATATGCTCCACAGCACAGTGGACATGCTTTTCTTTCTGTAATTAGAAAACTTTATGATATACTTTCCAATCTATTAATTGGATCATAATCAATTATGTTCAATTATTAGATAGGTAGCTAGTAGGTTTTAGTCATCATTGTTTTAATCCTTTGAACATCAATAATGAATTCTATGTCATGAATTAAAAACGTTGTGGTTTGCAAGATACAGTATTCGTTAGATGAAAAATCTGAACGACTAATATGCAGTGACTGTTATTGTAAGTACCAAAATAGTTGATGCATGTGCGTATTAGATAATTCCATTGTGCCATTTAACGAATACTCAGAGCAGTACAATTGAAAAAAAAACATTTTCACATCATGATAAACATTATCCTACGTATTTAGTATTAAACAACAATATCAAAAATTACATGTTCTCATCCATATTGAATCTTTAACAACCATAAACACACAACAACTTTCTAAACTAATTTGCTGAAAATATAAATATTCAATGTGATGTACACTTACTGGTTGCTTCCATCGTTTCTCTTTAGGAACTTGTGTATCAGGCTCAATTCGGACTAAATCTTGTTAGAGCTTGGTTATTAATTAATTCTAAATGACGCTCCATTTCAATATCACCATAAGTATAAAATCTAATGAAATTGATA